GCCCCAAGCGTTGGTGGTGAGGTCCGCCAAAGCCTGCAACTCCTTGACTGACATGGCTGGGGATTCGCCTCAGTCGCTGCCAGCGCCCTTGAACTGAACGCCTGGGGTGCGAGGAGCAGTGGGAAGAGTACGGACAGGATTACCAAACCGACTTTTCCCACAGTGCTTAGATGATTTCCAAGACTCCGAGTTTTCCCCCAAACTGTGGAGCTGGGTCTTCGTCTTTAAGAGACAGCACCCCTCAGCTCCTCTCCTTCCTCCTCCCCCCCTCCCTCTCCCCACCTGGTACAGCGCTGCGTGGACCCATAGGGGGCTCCACCGAAGGCCCCAGTGGCTGTGATCACACGCGTCCGCGCTACCCAGTGCAGCGTTTCGCGGCCCCATCGGGAGCTCCACCGAAGGCCCTATTGACTGTGATCACATGCGTCCGCGCCACCCAGTACAATGCTTCGTGGCGCCATACGGAGCTCCGCCGAAGGCCTCACTGGCTGTGATCACATGCGTCCGCGTGGCCCCATAGGGAGCTCCAGCGAAGGTCCCAGCGGCTGTGATCACATGCGTCCGCGCCACCCAATACAGCATTTCGTGGCCTCATAGGAGCTCCACCGACGGCCCCAATGGCTGGGATCACATGCGTCCGCGCCACCAAGTACAGCGCTTCGTGGCCGAATAGGGAGCTCCACCGAAGGCTCCAGTGGCTGTGATCACATGCGTCCGCGCCACCGAGTACAGCATGTCGTGGCCCATAGGGAGCTCCACCGAATGCCCCACTGGCTGTGATCACATGCGTCCGCGCCACTCAGTACAGCGCGGCGTGGGCCATAGGGAGCTCCACGGAAGGCCCCAGTAGCGACGTTGGCATGCGTTCCCCCCGCCCTTCTCGGCACACTTCTCACGCGTTTCGTGGCCGCATAGGGAGCTCCACCGAAGGCCCCAGTGGCGACGTTCGCATGCGTTCCCCCCGTCCATTTCTGTACCTGCCACGTCTTTCGTGGCCCCATGCGGAGCTCCACCGAAGGCCCTAGTGGCGACGTTCGCATGCGTCCCCCGCCGATTTCGGCACACCCCTCATGCGTTTCGTGGCCCCATAGGGAGCTCCACCGAAGGCCCCAGTGACGACGTTCGCATGGCGGCCCCGCTCCATTTCGGCACACCCTTCACACGTCTCGTGGCCCCCCCTGTGTGTGTGTGTGTGCGTGTGTGTGTGTGTGTGTGTGTGTGTGTGTGTGTGTGTGTGTGTGTGTGTGTGTGTGTGTGTGTGTGTGTGTTGGGGTGGTATGCCTCATGCCCCAGAGGCAGCGCTCGCATGGTGGGCCCGCCCCATTTCGGCACACCCTTTACACGCTTCGTGGCCCCATAAGGAGATTTACTAAAGGCGATACCCACAATGGCGATACTCACTGCATGTGGTTGGGTCCTTCGTCAGGAAAAGTTTTGCAACTGCGGTGATCACACCTCTATCTGCGATATGGCAATGTCTCCGAACCCCACTTGACAAGGTCGTCCCACTTCTCGAGAGGCGGCGGGGATGAAGACGAATTCTTAGCCCATGGAGCACTAGGCCAACCTCCACCCTGCCTGGTACCTTTTGACCACTGTTGCTTCGACTGAGATGTCCACACATCCTTTCCTCCCATTGTGAACTGAGAGCGAAAAGAAGGATACCTTAGCCACGAAATTGGCTCGCACACGCTGTGCTGTTCTGAAGTAAGCTAGTGCAACGCCAGAACAGCTCGATCGCAGAACAGCTCCAGAGCGAGGAGGAAAGGGCGAGGGGGAAACAGGAAGAGGACCTTCACTATCACGAGGACGACGACGAGGGTTACTTCAGAACCACTTAGGAGGATTATCATGTGTGGTCCTACCGTCGGAGCAATTTGAAGTGAGTTTCGTATCTTCGTATTTTCTGCCGTGTGAGCCCGCAAGATCGCCCGAAAGGCTTCCAATATTGTGTCAACGCGGCACAGAAAGAGGCTTCAGGAGGGCTCCAAGAAGGACCCCCGACGGCCCAAGAATAGCTCCAGACGCCCCAGGAGGGCCCTTAAGAAGCCCCGTGAGGGCCTGTCAGGAGCCCAGGCGGGCCCCAGACAACCCAAGACGGCCCCAAGACGGGCTTCACAAATGCCCAAGCCGTCCCTGAGGGCATTCACGCGCCCCAGCAGGTTTCCAAGATGGCCCCCAAACACCCCCAGTGGACCCCCAAGACTGCGCCCAGACGGCTCCAAGGACACCCAAGACGACCCCGCCGACATGCGTTCAGAATGCTCCATAATGTGGCCCGGCGACGGCTGCACGCGGCCAGCAAGCTCTTCAAACATGCCCCTGGGAAACCAGAAGCGTCCAAATTGAGCGCGCCTGGTGCGCATGGCACGCGTGGCGTGTGGGCGTAGTACGCTTCGTGCCCTTGGCCCGTCGCACGCCGACTCCAGGATCGGCAGGGCTGCGCCTTTCCCTTCCCGCCCACGTCATAAAATTGCCCTTGCTGTGTGTCGGCAGCACCACCTGGTGCCGACGACGTTCATTGCATAGCTGGCATGCTTGCAGTGCCTCCTCAGCAGGTGACCGCGTGGTCCGCCGTGTGCGTTTCGAGGGTCTAGCGCTTCGAGTGCTTTGCCTGCGCGTTGCGCATGGCGTGCGTGGCGTGTGCGCGCAGTGCGCTTGGTGGTCGTGGCCCGTCGCGTGTCGGCCCCTTTCCAGTTGCACGGTCGGGCGGGTTGCGCTTTTCTCTATCCGACCTCTATTCGAAAACGGTGCGGGCGATGCGCTTCAAGGTCCATTTGCTGTCTTTCCGTCCTGCCGGCAGGTGCGGGGGGTGTCGCGCGGCAGTCTCTTGGGCAGGGCTGGCTGCATTGCGTTGCTTCGATTTGCGTTGCATTGCATTGCATCTACCTTCTGGTGTTTAATCTTGCCTGGCGCAGCGCTGCGTTGCAATGGTCTGCGTTGTGTTTTCGGATTGCATTGGTTTGCACTTTTCTACCATTGCATTTGTTTTGGGCCACGTCGTTTCGAATTGCAATGCGCTTGAGCTGCGCTGCTTGCATTGCGGTGCACTTGGCATTGCTTGGCGTAGGAAGAAGACGTGCAGAATCGGTACATACTCTGGGAGTTTCTTGAAGCCGTGCTCTATGCTAGTGCGAGATCTTATGTGTGTATATGTCTGTCTGTCTGTCTGTCTGTCTGCCTGCCTGCCTGCCTGCCTGCCTGTCTGTCTGTCTGTCTGTCTGTCTGTCTGTCTGTCTGTCTGTCTGTCTGTCTGTCTGTCTGTCTGTTCGTGGCAGCTATATGTTTGTCGAGGGCCAGGGTTTGCTAGGCCCTGAGGCTCGCGCAAAGTGCGCGTGGCTCTAGTTCCCTACCTAGGCTCTGCCTAGAAGGGTTCTTCCTCGGTGTGCTTAAAGGGTCGGGCAGTGTAACCCGCCCCGGGCGGTTCCCCCGGCATCCGCCCCGCGGTTCCCCCAGTGACGTTCCCTTAGCTTAGCGTTGCTTATCTCATCTTAGCTTAGCTTATAGCTTAGCTTAGCTTAGCTTAGCATAGCATAGCGTAGCACTGCATTAGCATAGCATTTCATAGCATAACATAGCCAAACATAACATAGCATATCATGGCATAGCGCATCATAATATAACATAGCACAGCATAGCATAGCATATCATAGCATAGCGCAGCTTAGCATAGCATATCATAGCATAACTTAACATCTCACAGCGCATCATGACATAGCACAGCTTAGCATAGCTTAGCATATCATAGCATAGCATATCATAGCGCAGCATAGCATAGCATAGCATGTCATATCATAGCACAGCGCAGCATAGCATAGCATAACATAGCATAACATAGCATAGCAACTAATGCTGCTTTTCTAGGGGCTCCAACTTCTAGGTAGGGTCGCACTGGGGTAATTTTGAATAATAAAGCAGTGCTGATCGTTCTCGTCTTCCTCCTCCTGCCTCCTCCCGCCTGCTCCCGCTTCATCCTGCCTCCTCCGCTCTCCTGCTCCGTCCTCTTCCCTCCTGCTGTTACCTCCTGTCTCCTGCCTCCTTTCCTCCTCCCGTCTACGTCTATCCGAACTCGCTTTTTCGGCGTCGGCAATTGCTGCCAGCTGCGAACCTGAGGGCTGCCGCTGCGCTGCGCCCGTCAGAGACTCAGCGGAGTGCCGTCTTATATTAGTCCTTGTGCTCTCTGAGTGCTGGCAGGCGGGCAATTGGTGCCATTTTGGTGCGCCCCTGAAGCTGTCGCCACTTTGCTGCGTCGCTTCTGGGGTCCAGCTGAGTGACGTCTGGGGTCGCCCTCTCTTGGGGCTGGCAGGCGCAACCACTGTTGCCACTTTGCTTGCTGTGCCTTCGGAGGGTCAAGCGGAGTGACGTCTAACGCCAGTCGTCGCTGTCCTTTGATGCTGCCAGGCGCGCAACTGTCGCCTGGAGGTCAACGGAGTGCGGTCGTACGGGCGCCCAGCGAGATGTCACGCTCTGTCGCCTCTTTCGTGAGCTCGTGGCATGGTCAGCGGAGTGCGCTCCTACAGTGTATGCAGGCGCCCAAGCGAGGCATCGCCCTCCCTGGGCGTGGCCAACTGCGCAACTGTCGTCACTTTCGTGAGCTCATGGGAGGTTCACAGAGTGCGGCCCTATGGGGGCCCCACGTGAGAGTTCGGCCCCCCCCCTGGGTGCTGCCAGCCCAATCCCCTTTACAGTATCATCCATGCAAGCAGGGTCCCACACATCTTGTTCCTCGTGCCGATGTTCCCGCTGTCTGAACAGTCTCTTGGATGGAGGAACCTCTCTAGTCCTCTGAAGGTACCCGAAGACACCCAGCCGTGAGTTGACTCCTCCTTCTGAAGGTGCCCCAAGACTCCTCCTCCTCCTCCTCCTCCTCCTCCCCCTCCTCCTCCTCCTCCTCCTCCTCCTCCTCCTCCTCCTCCTCCTCCTCCTCCCCCCTTCGCCCTCGCAGAGCCTCCCCGCTTCGCTCTCCCCCTCTGCTGCCAGCGCCGAGCTGCCGCCCAGAGGCGCACGCAGCTGCAGGGGCGGGCGGGCAGCCTGTGCCCGCGCGCTGGTCTCCACCCTGCGGGCGCTAGCAGTGCTGCTGCCGCTGGCCACGCTGGCCCTGCTGATCCTGCAGGACCGCCCGCGACGAGAGTCCGTTTCGATCCGATCGATCCGATTCGAGGTTCGTGGCTCGAGGCTTTTGGACGTTTTCTTCGGTTCCAGGAGGTTCTCCTGCCTCGGCATGCGTTCCAGCAGCTGCGCCTCGCCGAGAGCGTCAAGGGGGTGCCCGAGTCGTCTCGAACGGCCGCCGGAGGCACGAAATATGATCCGCATGCTGAGTGATGGCGATTTCGGCTGGCCCAGGTCCGACTCGGGCCCAGTATGTCCTGGCGATCCGATGCGGCCCGATGCCTTGCACGGCGCTGCTCTGCATCCTGGCGCGGCCGATCCGATCTGATTTCGGCGCCGTGCCGATGCGGGCCCGTCCGACTTACGTTCTGATCGGATGATCGAGTTTCTGGAGTCGATGCTGGCTGATCCCGACAGCGGTGGACAGGGAGCAGGCAGGCGCGCCGTTCCCGTTCGTCTCCTGCCACCGTGCTCAGGTTCTCGGTCGGATGCCTGTGGGGATCTCTTGGGAGGCCTCTCGGGAGCATATTGGGCGCGGTTTTTGTCATGTGTGTGGGCCTCTGGAGCATGGAGGGACCTGATTTGGGCCTCTTGGGAGCCTCCTGGGCCTTTGGGGGCCCCTTGTTGGCGTGCCGGCCGTTTTGGGGATCATATTGAGGCGGGCGGCTTGGGATGTCAGTTCGAGTTCCCTTTCTCGGGGCCCTCTTGAGGCCGTCTTGGGCCTCTCGGGGGCCTCTTGGGCCCCTCGTTGGCCCCTCTTGGGGCCGTCTGGGGGCCCTCTGTGGGGCCTCTTGGGCCGCCTTGGGGCGATCTTGGGGGCCTCTGGGGCCGTCTCGGAGCGTCGGAAGCCTGGAGAGGCGAGAACGTGAAACTCGTTGAACAGCTGAACGGAATTATTGGTTCTGGCCTCTTGGGGCACTCTTGTGGGTGCTCTTGGGGCTCTGCGTCTTTGGGGGCGTCTTGGGTCGTCTTGAGGCCATAGAGCGTCTTAGAGCCCTTGGACCGAGGCCTAATTCCCCAAGGGTGCCATCGACGTGGGTCGTGCTCGAAGACCTTGCCGCGATGCAAAGTCTGAGCAGCCAGTGTTCACCAATGGAAGACCCAAGCGAGACCGCAAGATAATGGCTGGACGTGACATGCAACCAAGACCAGCGATGGCACCATGTAGTAGATGCGGCTCATTTTGTAGGAAGCAAGTGCGACAGATGTGCCGCGTCGGAAGGGGTACAGCTCAATTTTGCTTGCGACATGCGCCCCGCGCCCAAGAAGGCTCCAAGAGACCGAAGATGGGGAAGCCCACGAGGCGTCGGAAGCCCTGCCCCAGACCCCGAAAATTTTCCTCCGGTCCCCCCAAGATCCCCGAAATAGGCCCCGAAGAGGTGCCCCAGAGGCTTGAGCAGGGCCTGGGCAGGCTTCCAGCAGTGCTTACCCCATAATTCTTGCCTGCTCCTGGTGGACGTCCTGCTGCTGCGCCTGTTCTTGCTGCTGCTGCTGTTGTCCCTCGTATTTTTCCTCGCTGTTCCCCCCCCCCCCCTGCCCCCCTCTTCTCATTTTCCTTTTCGCAAGGGCCTGCCTGCTTCCCTCCTCACTCCTCCCTGCTCCAAAGTCGCCCAATATCCCCCAAGGAGGCCCCTAAGAGGCCCCCAAGAGGACCTCAAGAGGCTCCAAGAGCATCCCAACATTTTCCCAAGAAAGGCTCCAGAGGCGAACTCGCCTCGCGGCAATGAATCACTTGCATGTTTACATGCGTCTTTACGGCTCCCCCTTCCTACCGTCTCTCCCTCTTTTTTCATTTGTCCTCTTTCGCTCTTCCCTTCTCCCTACTCCCGCAACTTGTTTATGATTCGCCCAATTTCTGAGTGCCTGCTCATTTGTTCGGGTATATTTTCTCTTTTTCCGCCTCTCCATCATACAGCATTTGGATTTTCTATTGTTCCATCCACTCTCTTCCCCTGCTCCCACCGCCTCTCCCTCCCTCCATCTGTCTCCCCTTCCCTTCGCTCTGTATCCTCTTTCCCCCTCATACTTCCTCATTCCTCCCTTTCTGATTCCTTCTTCCTTCTTCTTACTTGATCCTCTCAAGCCTCCTCGTCCAGACCTGTTCCGCCGGCTCTCGGACTCGTTTGCCAGAACATCATGGTGGCGGAGGAGGAGGAGGAGGAGGACACGGCTCAGACGTCTCCACACATTCCAAGCTTTACGAGAATCAGAGCTTTGTTTCGGCCTCTAGAGGCCGAGATCGCGCGCACTTTTCCATCCTTAGAATCACAGCCCGTGCGAAGCGCGCGCATGGCCCTCTCTCTACCTCTCTTTCTCCCTCCCTCCTCTCTCTTTCTGTCCCTCTCTCTTTATACACATACTTAGTATACAGAGTGTATGCATGTATGGCTGCATGCATGTAGGTGTGTGTGTGTATGTATGTTTATTTGTTTGTTTGTTTGCTTGCTTGCTTGCATGCAGGCAGGCAGGCAGGCAGGCAGGCATGTACTCGTGCATGCATGTATGTATGTATGTATGGATGGATGTATGGATGTACGTATGTATGTATGCATGTGTGTATGTATATATGTATGTATGTATGTATGTATGTATGTATGTATGTATGTATGTATGTATGTATTTATGTATGTATGTATGTATGTATGTATGCGTGTATGTATGTATGTATGTATGTATGCATGCATGCATGCATGCATGCATGCATGCATGTATGTATGTATGCATGCATGTATGTATGTATGTATGTATGTATGTTTGTATGTATGTATGTATGTACGTATGCATGCATGTACGTACGTACGTACGTATGTATATGTAGACAGGTATATCGGTAGATATGCATGTAGGTATGTATATCCGTGTATGTATGTATGCATGCATGCATGTATGCACGTATGTATGTATTCATGTATGCATGTATGTATATATGTATGTACGTACGTACGTACGTACGTACGCGCGCGCGTGTGTGTGTGTGTATGTGTGTGTGTGCGTGTGTGTGTGTGTGTATGTATGTAGGCAGTTAGGTAGGTAGGTATGCACGCATGTATGTGTGTCCGTGTATGCATGTATGCATGTATGTGTGCATATATGTATGCATGTATGTATGTATGTCTGTATGTAGGAGGTTTCTGGGATTTCTGGGATGATAAGTGAGGGAGCTCTGTTTTTTTTTTGGACTCAAGACGCACGGTTTCCGCACCCCTGGACAACCCCTAAACATGTACACACGCTTCCCTCCCTCCTCATACCAAAAATCCCAAACATCCAAATCAACGTGCAGGGTTTGGGCACCCCTGACGCCGCGAACTCAGTGTTTTAACATTGATTGTTGGGGCTCTGGGATGCGGAGCGCCGTCGGAATTGGAGAAGGAGAGAGAGAGAGAGAGAGAGAAAGAGAGAGAAAAGGAGAGATAGAGATATATACAGAGAGATAACGAGAGAGAAAGAGAGAGAGAGAGAGAGAACGAAAAAGAGAGAGAGAGAGAGAACAAGAGAGAGGGAGAGAGATAACATACGACTACGATTGCGAATAGTAATCGCAACTAAGAAGAGAGAGCGAGAGGGAGAGGGAGAGATATAGTGAATGGAAGAGAGAAAGGAGATGAATATGAAAGGGATAGGAAACGAAACAGAGGAAGGACAATCACATGTAAGAAAAACGCTTTCGCAAGCACATGCTGGTAAGAATGGGTGCTGGGGGACGGTCCATATTCATTATATAATCTATCGTTTCGAGACGATTCAATTGAAGGGGTCATCGTGAACGGGTTCAGCACGAGCCCATCTTGATCAGGCTTGTCGTCCGCAGCGAGATTCCTGCCACCCAGAGACCACGCCGCGGCACGCTCGTTCCCGCATGGTCTTCTGTGAAGGTGCCTCCCGTGGAGCGTGGAGGGGACCGCGAGGCGTCTTCGCCGGTATGGCTAGTGTTGGGCGGGAAGGGCTCGATGATCCTGAGGACGCGTGTTAGCTCAAAGTGCTTTTACCCGTTCAGCTCCGCCGAAACCCGCAGCAGGTGTCGGCCCTCCTGGCGCAACCCGGGTCGCATCGCAAGACTTCGGTGGGCAAGCTCGTGTTGGCGCTACATCGGGCACGCTCTGAGGATGATCGAAGGGAGGTCGCCAGCAATCGGCGGCGCGCACGAGGGGGGTGGTCGTCTGAGAACGCGGGTGGCTTCTCAGAGTGCAGGGGCCTTCTCGGAAGGGCCCAGAGGCTGCCAAGCCTTCTTGGAAGCCCGCGTCAGGAAGCCCCTCTCCGTTCAGAAGCCCCCCTTCGTTCTCATGAGGCCGCCCCCCTCGCGCCACTCCCTCGTGCGCGCCGCCAAAGCCAAGGCTCGCGTGGGCAAGCGTGGAGGTGCGTCGGTCTGGCGACTGCTTGGCCTTCAGGCCCCGGGAACCAGCACACTGCCAACCAGGACTTTGCTAGATCCAGCGGGAGGAGTCGAAGAATGGCGAGTGCTTCCACCCAGGGCTGTATGTTCCTCGGGCGTGCAAGTGTCCTGGCCTGCCCCGAGGGCTTCCTCCCGGTGCCCAGGACCGCTGCGACGAGTCGGACGAGTGGTGCGGCGCGCAGGCCGCCCGCCGCGGCTGTGCTCGAGCCCTTTTCCGGCCCCGTCGCCCGCCCGCGCAGTCGCGCCCGAACTTCGGGGGTTCGTCTCGGGCCGGACGGAGTGGGGTGCCATGGGATCTGCTGCGTGCAGCTGGTTGCGGCTCCCCCTTTCGTCCAGCCCGATCGCGGAGGGGGCTCTTAGCCCAAAGCGGGGTCAGGGAACGAGTACAGACGGAGGGGCTAGCAGTTGACAGGCCGGCTCAGGGGGACCTGCTGCTAATGTCAGGGGTGACATGGGGGGCTTGCTTGCAGACCTCTCGGCTGGTGGAGGACGATCGCAGCGCCCCTGCTGAGCCCTGAAGGCGAACATTGGTACGTGTAGCGAGGCAACCAGCATCGGAAAGCTCGGTGGGGGACGCTTTGAGGCAGCGGGCCAACGCCGGCGGCAAGACGAGGCTTCGCGTCAGACCCGATTCGATCTTTGACCCGCAAGAGGAGTATCACTCAACATCTTTCAGCTAGGTTTAGCGTCCCTCGCAGACTTCGGCTGCAGGCATAAAGGGCGCAGGGAGCGGGGCCGCGACCAGAAGGAGAGGCACAGAACGCTGGGCACAGGAAGCGGGAATCGGCTGTTTTTTAAACTCCCCGTCTTCGCTTGGAAATGGCTAGCCAAGGAAAGCAGTTCGTCATGCACCTTCGGCTCCCCTTTGGAAGGGTCCTGGTGCTTGCGCTGGAACATCCTGTTCCAGTTGTTTCGGTTGTGCATGCTCGTGAACTTAATTTGTATGCGTCTGAGAGCCTGGCTGTTCTCCGCCCCAGGAGGATGCGGATGTTTATATGGTGGACGGGGAAAACCGCAGGAGGACAGGAGTAATGATGATTGATGGTGATGATGTTGTTGATGATGATGATGATGATGATGATGATGATGATGATGGTGGTGGTGGGCTCCAGCGCTCCACGATCAACCACAATTCAATTTTATCACACTTGGCTTGAAGCTTTACTAGAGAAGAGACGAGAGACCAACGCAGATCACCCTACAGCAAAATACGCTCTCAGCAAGGAGGTCCAGAGCAAGGTCATTAGCATGAAGAATGACAAGCGTCGATCGGAAATTGTCAAGGTATCATCGGATTTTCGTAATTTGAAGACTTCTCGAATGAAGTCGCAAACAACAACATGTTGTAGTACAAGGATGCTTGGTGATAGTGGAGGGACTTCGCGGGGACGACAAGAGATTGCCGACGACGTCGCATGATTCAACAGTAAGTTGTGCGCAGATGTGGATGGCAATTCTGGGAGCAAGAGCCCCGAAGAGGACAAGACCTCCGCAGCGGCGATTAACATCCCACCCGTCACTATTTGAGAGTTACAGATGACATTGAAGCATCTGAAGAAAGGCAACTCAGCAGACAGCTACGGCATCGTGGTTGAGATGGTATCTGCCGGAGATTCGGCGATTCGAGTGATTCTTCTTTTGATGTGCAACTGCATCATTAGCTTGAACGCGCCGGCGCTCGCAGAGTGGAAGCGCACCATGGTCAAAGGTATATTAGAAAGCGGGAGTGCGAAGCTGCAGCCGAATTCCATGGCCATCAGCACTACACCTATGCTTTACGCACTTGTTTCGCGAATATCGTATAACATGCTGGTGCTAATGTTGGACAAGAATCAAAGCAATGACCAGGCAGTTTTCCGCCCGCTCCGATCCATCACATTTTTTACCACTGCGATATTGCAACAAACAGCAGAAGTTTACAGAAAGCCTTCGACAGCGTTACGCAAAGAGGATGCTTTGACGGACAAGGGCGTCGACGAAGGATGCATCCGAGTTTTTCGAGACTTGTGCCGAGACCAGACAGCCATTGTGAAGACTGACCGCGCCAACAAACAATTCCAGATACAGCGTGGGACGAAACAGAGCGACCCTCTCGGCTCCCTCCTTTTCAAGAACGTAGCTGAACATGTGATTAATAGCGTGACGGCGAGGTTGACTGAATTAAACCTTGGAGTACCGACGATGTCATAAAAGCATCGGCTGGCAACTTGGAGATTCGCTGATGGTACTTTACTTCTTGCGACCTCACTAAGGCATGTGAAGAATATGATAGGCGACTTACAGGGTGCTGCCAGGGAGTTTGTCTCAGTCCTGCATCCCTGAAAGACAATTTTCCACAACAGCTTTGGCGGCATGCGCAAGGGCCATAACGCTGTGAGCATGGACGCTAACGGCATGGAGATCGAGATTTTGCCGGTGACCAGGCGTATTCAAGACTTTGGTAGAGAGTTAAGATTTCATATGAGCAGAGAGTTGAAGTTGAGAGTTGTTCTAACTACGGCTTGGAGGAAACTCCTATTCATTGAAGCTGGAGCTTGTTGGACGTCGGTATTCTCTGAAAGACAACAAGCGTTTGTTTCTTGGTTTTAAGCCCACCTTATTGTACGGCTGCGAATAGTGGGCTATGTCAGCGGAGCTTGCACGCAGGGTTGGTCGAACGCCAAAACACATGTTGGTAAGGATCATCCAAACACCACGTCGAAAGGAAGTGTATCAAGCTGTTGGCTTGAAGAACGGGGAGCAGGCATCAGTAACGACCAGCAGGGATGACGATGTGGGCAGCGCTGGAGAATAACATAAAGAACTACCCAGAGCAACTCAATTGCAGGGATGAGAGGTTGAGCAGTGCACCGGCTCTTTGGACATCGATGATTGGGTCACATAACGACGTCAGAGGCAATGCCGATGGTTCGCAACAGTTGCATGCAAAGCGCCCTGGGAGTGGATGAGACAGGCTGTATCCTAGGATCCGTGCCAGCATGCTGAACTATATGCGAAAATATGCCCTCACCGACCGAAGCGCCGTGGGATGTACAACGTCTACAAAACGATATCAATACTAAAGTCAACATTGACTTCTGAAGTGTGGTGCGCTTGTAACAGACGGCGGCGAGGCGCGAGACGCATTTCAGATGGTGCTGAGGTGTGCCACACCTGAGACATAGGACACTCTAGAGTGATGTTCTTTGCTAGCCGCTTTATGCTATGGCGGGGACATCGTCCCCATCCCGCGGCACCTACACGTTGCTCTTTCCAGGTCGCAGTCTCAGTCGCAAATGGTGGTGATGGTGATGATGAGGATTGATAATGTGGCTGCTGATGACGATTATGATGATGATGGCGATGATGGTGCTGGTGATGGTGATGGTGGTGACGATGCTAATGAGGATGAGGATGACGATGAGGAGGACGAGGAGGAGAAACAGGAGGAGAAACAGGAAGAGGAGGAGGAGCAGGATGAGAAATAGGACGATCAGTCGGAGGAGCACGGGGGACAGGGTGGCGGAAAAGGACATTGACAAGGAGCATGATATGGAGGATGGGGAGGAGCGAGGAGGCGATGGGGGGCAGGAGGAGGGGAATGACAAGCAGTAAAGAGGGACCTTTGGTGCATGTTGGGGGCCCTTCTTGGGGCCCTCGGCCGTGCTCCCGAGGCAGCGGCCTCCGGGCGTTGCCCACGGTTCTCCGCCGGGACACTGCGGGGGAGAATCTCCATCCCACGCTGCTGCCATTGATTTGTATCCTGAGGGGGGGCGACACCTTGGGCGTGCTACGCCCGTCCGGTGGCGACTGCCAGCCCGATTCGCTCCGCCCGGTGTAGTCGTGGTCACACTCCATCATTCATCACCCTTTCGTTTTTCGCCTGCCCGACCCGATCCACCCGCTTGAGCCTCCCAGCCGATTCGCCTCAACCGCGCGAGTCACGGCTTCACCAGATGATACCCCGCGTGCCCGATCCGACATGGCCGTTGGGGACCGTCCGCCCCGCCCGCTCGAGTGGCGGCCCCATTCGATGTAGCATCATACTTGAATGTCCCGCCCGCCCGACCCGACCCGCCCGTTGGGGCTTCCCCTCCCCCCCTCGCTCTGTTCCCACGTCACAGTCCGCCCGAAACGACCCCACCAAGGGCCGTTCTGTCGCTGCCAGGACCTCTCGGACCATCTCTTCTCCCTTCACGGGGCGTCCGATCTTTCCCCCGTCCCCCCCGCGAAGGGCGGCGCCCGTGGGCGCCGCCGCGGCACCATAGCACGGCCCCCCAGGCGTTCCTCGGGTACGGGCTGCTGGCCAAGTGCACTTCCGGCCTGTCGGCCATCGCCATGGTCACCGGGGGAGTTCAATCGTCGCCATGATGCAGACGGGCTTCATACCTCCTCTCCTCCTCGTCGTGCTCGTCCCCCTCCCTAGCCATTTTTGGTTCACGATGCCAGATTTCCCCCCATGGTCCAAGTGGATACCCCTGATCCGAGGCAGGCAAGGTTGTTCAGCCTGGCACTCGTTTCTTCCCTCGCGACCCTTGTACCAGCTGCCCAGCCGTGCAAGCTGCCGTTCTCGTCGCGCTCCCATAGTCTGCAGCCATGGCAGGTGAGGATATCATGGCGATGCTGCGAGCGATGCAGGCACACTAGTTGCATGCTATGGCCACGAGCAATGAGTTCATCCGTGCGACGGACACCACAGTTGCGAAGCGGTGCTAGCTCGAGCCGCAGATGCAGCAGGTGGCTGGTGACGTGAGCACACTCGGGGACAAGCTCAAGGCCAAATATCTAGAATGTATGGAACCAGTCAATTCGTTGAATAAGGAAGTCCACAGCAAGCTCAACTCAGAAAGCGGAAACACCTCAGCGAGCAGTGGAGTGAAACGCAGACGTGGTAATTCTTACATTGGGTGGTGATCTCTTTCCAATGGCAGTCTGAGTGGTTGGGGGGGCAATCGACCACGTCCACAGGACACAGGTGATCCCCGCAGACACTGAGTTGGAATGCGTCCCAGGAAATTGCTGAACATCAACAGAGGATCGCTGGCATCGGGGTCGGGGTCTCGCGTTCTCCCAGGAGAAGATGCAAGGCCGCATTAACAAAGGATTGCTTGCATGGACACAGGACACGATCAGAGGCGAGGCCGAATAATGCAGCGTTCCCGACTCGGGACGTAGAGGCCCTGGCTGACCGCGAGGAGCGGGGTTGCGTGACTGCGAGGGCCAATGGGGCCATTCGCGCGACCTCGTTCGCCGTGAGTCAGGCCCTCAGTGGCTTCCGACCGGTTCCGACTTCCGACCGGATCCGGTCACGGGGCAACCACCACCGCCCGCTGGGGTCGATGGTCTGCCTTTTAGGATGCACTCATTCGCGACGCCAGGATGGCGCGCGCCACTGCGTCTTCAAGGCTGCGGGGGGGACCCCAGCAGTCGCCCACCCTCCCCGAAGGGGGAAATCAAAGTGGGATGGGCCCGGTCGCGCACCAGTTATACTCCACGCGCCCGAAGTATCCCGGGATGCGTGGCGCTCCTGGCGCTTCCCCTGCGGCTTCCTCTGATGGCGCTGCGGCTGCTGCGCTGCTGAAGGTGCCGCCGCCGCCGTCTGCGGCATCGAGCGCGACCTTTGACACCCCATGCGCGGATCGCAGGGAGGTGCGCGCCCTCGCTGCGCCGCCGCGGCCCCCGACGACGCCTCTGAGGCGCGCCCCGATCCCTGGCGACGTGGTTAGGCGAACGCAAAGGGGCGCACAATATTGGAACGTGGCCTGGGACAAGTGGATACACATTGAATGTCGGCAAGGTAGCTATTGCATCCACCTTGATGCGAAGGGCATGCATGGGCACGCTGGCAAATTGTATCGTTACCACTACGATTCCAGCGAATATTGGCCAGCGTACACGAAGAGGTAACGCTTTGAGCAATGCTGTCCCTTGCACGTGCTCTTCCTATGTGACTCACTTCTCAAGCGTCGCCATTGTACGCCTCAGTATTTACAACTTTGGGATTGATATTCGAATTACTACACAACCACCTTGTGGATCCCAGATCTACTCAAAGAGAATACTTTGACATATGACTTGCAAAACCCAGTTCAGTAAGGAACCTTGTTATAATATCACTGCTCGTACCACTGTGTCATATAAAGCACGCTGCAGCATGGAGGGCAAACGAAGAAACTGAGATGATTTGTGAACGGCGTAAACATTGAATAATATATATATACATATATTTATATATATGTGTATATAAATTGCGTGGACCTCGTGATCTCAACGGTCCGGATAAGTCAGTGAGTGATCCGTCGCAGTGATCTTCTCGCAGATTAAAGGCGTGCGTTTGGCATGTCTCTCATCTTTGCGCTCAGATGTTACACAACAGAAGATACATGGGGCATGGGACAAGTTAGTTCGCATCATCACGCTGCTAATGCATTGCCGACCACCGCGACTGCCCATCCCTCGTGTTTGCAATGGGCTACTTGAAATTTCACTTTGCATTGGGTTTCTACCCGTCGGACTCAGGTGTGCCGTGCGGCGCGACCTCCCATGCGACTCTCGGATTCTAGTAGTCAAGACCCTGCGCCAGCGCCATCTTGACCACTGCAGCAGGAGTAGTGACTGACTCGGGCGGCTTGCGCAGTAGAGCTTCGTGGGGCTTGCGCGCTCGACGAGGCGTCCTCGAGGCTGGCGCGTCATGATCACGGTGCCGCTAGGTCCAATTGTGCACCGGGGTTGCACCCGTCTGACTCGTGACTTCGAGTGGCGTGCTCGCCCGCGCAACTTTTCAAATCCCTTGCCCCCCGCCCTACCTTGCACGCTCTTCCACCTCCGTTGGCGCCAGGACATGTCTTGGGGTCTGCGTCGCAGGAGAACAGGGGGGCGCCGCGAGAGGTAGTCCTTTCTCACCTCACCTTGCCGACCAGGGCCTTGCAGAGCTGTTTGTAGTCAGGTTGGGACCTGGGCTCATTCCCTTCGCTCCCGAAGCCAGTCCTATGCGTTTCGCTGTGCGTATCGCGGGTCGGGTTTCGGGGTGGTGTGGGTGTGTGTATGATCCCCTGTGCCTGTCTTCTTCTTTCCCGTGCAGATGCCCCTTTCGTCGTGCAGGTGTTGACGAGCGCGCGCGATTGTCGGGCCTGTGGAGAAGGGATTCATCGTAATATACTTTATCAACTGATACTCGGGGTGGGGATCTGTGTGTGTGTGTGTGTGTGTGTGTGTCTGTGTGTGTGTGTGTCTGCTAGTGTGTTTTTCTCCCCGAAGACGTCCTCTTGCCGCCTCCCAGGTCGAGGAGGACTCGGCGCCTGCCACTCCCGGCGGTGTACCTGGCGCTGCGTCGTCTCAAAAGCGCTTTCCCTCGCGCGACCTTTCGTGTCCCCGGGGAAGGAAGGCCAGGCGGTATCGTCCCATGGCATTCAGCACTCCTTTCTTCGTTTCGTCGTTGGCCATCGCCTGTCGTCTTGGCTGGTTGCTGTACATTTTGCTCCTCCGTGGTGTCTGCGCTGCGCCCTCCTTGCGGGACGCCCCATTGGGCGGCGGCCAGTGCGCTCCCTCTTTCTCTCCGCCATCTTCGCGCGGATGGCAATGTGCCGCCCCCGTCTGAGCCGGCGCGCGCGGGTGCCGCCCCTAGGGTCTCGGCCGCAGTACTTGATTTGTTTCGCCTCCTTGCCGCGCGCGAGGCCGCGACTGCCAACAAACACAATGCGTGTGTGTGTGTGATCCTTGTTGTTTCCCTTGGTGCCCCCAGCTCGCCCAGGATTCAGGACGTTGAGCTATTGCCCCTCTATGGTCGGCTGCCGTTGCCGCCCGCCTGCTGCGCCTCGCGTGCTGCCTCGGCTTGTCACTGTGGCATTCTCCCCGTCGTCTTTTCCTCTCTTTCTTCCCTCTTCCCTCTCGCCCGTCTCCTCTCGCGACTGCCTCCTTGTGAGTGCTGCTGTCCATCCCCGATGGGCGGATCCAGTTTTTGCACGCTGCGTGAGCTGGCCGGGTCCGCGCGCTCCCGCTTGACTGACCTAATTACGCCGCGCCGCCGCGCGCGTGGCCACGACGCTATCAAGCTTGTGTGTGTGTGTGCGTGCGGTACCCCTTCGCCGGTCTCCCGTTGATCGGCCGCCCCCCTCGGGTGTCAGCCCGGTTGCCCTCACACGTCGGTGTCATTGTCTGAAGCCTCTCACTCCCCACCCTGCCCGGGTGGATGTCCTGTCGATCCAACGTGGTCCTGCGTTTGAGGTCCCAGCCGTGCGCGCTCGCTCGTTCCGACCGCTCGACTTGCTCCGCTTCGTCGCCGCGCGCGAGATCGCGACCACGCCAAAGTGTGTGTGTGTGTGTGTGTTTGAGCGAGCCCGGCTTCCTCCTCCTCCCTGCCGTCGCCGGGCGCCTCTTCCCTCCCCCTTCTTGCATGGTGGCCGAATTCGTGTTCGAGCACGTTACAACGCCTCACCGCCAGCGCAGTCACTCTGCCTAGCCGCCGACGGAAAAGTGTGTGTGTGTGTGTGTGTGTGTGTGTGTGTGTGTGCGTGCATTGCTCTTTCCGCTTCAAACCGTTGGCCCATTTTCGGTCGTGCTGCCCTTGAAGCGATCGGCGTGCGCAGGTCGTTCTGCGATGTGCAGCCCAGCTTGAGTCCGCGGGCCGCAGAGAGCAGTGCGCGGTGCGGCGCCGGCAGCCGGACGAGCGTGCATTTTTGGACGCTCTGTCGCAGGTGTGCCTGCCGAAGGTCGCGCAGAGCTGTTGTTCCCAACCATCCTGTGGTGTTGGGTCCTCGTTTTGAAGAGACAGCGCCCCGCGTTCACTCCTTCCTCCCGCTGCCCCCTCCCTCGTCACCGCACCCATTTCGGCACACCCCTCACACGTTTCGTGGCCCCATAGGGAGCTCCACCGAGGGCCCAGTGGCTGCGTTCGCATGGCGGGCCGCACCCATTTCGGCACACCCCTCACACGCTTCGTGGCCCCATAGGGAGCTCCACCGAAGGCCCCAGTGGCTGCGTTCGCATGGCGGCGCCGCACCCATTTCGGCACACCCCTCACACGTTTCGTGGCCCCGTAGGGAGCTCCACCGAAGGCCCCATGGCTGCGTTCGCATGGCGGCACCGCAGTCATTTCGGCACCCCTCCCACGTTTCGTGGCCCCATAGGGAGCTCCACCGAAGGCTCCAGTGGCTGCGTTCGCATGGCGGCACCGCGCCCATTTCGGCACACCCCTCAGACGTTTCGTGGCCCCATAGGGAGCTCCACCGAGGGCCCCAGTGGCTGCGTTCGCATGGCGGCACCGCACCCATTTCGGCACACCCCTCACACGTTTCGTGGCCCCATAGGGAGCTCCACCGAAGGGCCCCTGTGGCTGCGTTGGCATGGCGGCGCCGCACCCATTTCGGCACACCCCTCACACGTTTCGTGGCCCCATAGGGAGCTCCACCGAGGGCCCCCGTGGCTGCGTTCGCATGGCGGCACCGCACCCATTTCGGCACACCCCTCACACGTTTCGTGGCCCCATAAGGAGCTCCACCGAGGGCTCCAGTGGCTGCGTTCGCATGGCGGCACCGCGCCCATTTCGGCACACCCCTCACACGTTTCGTGGCCCCATAGGGAGCTCCACCGAGGGCCCCAGTGGCTGCGTTCGCATGGCGGCACCGCACCCATTTCGGCACACCCCTCACACGCTTCGTGGCCCCATAAGGAGCTCCACCGAAGGCCCCAGTGGCTGCGTTCGCATGGCGGCACCGCAGTCATTTCGGCACAC